CCTCCAAAAAATTTCGTTTTTTTTAGATTATGCAACTGCATATAATCTCTTAAAAACAAGAAAAAAGTTAATTTGTTGAAAATCACCGGAAGATATATACATTCTTATATATATATGAAGCAAAAAGTTCCATGATTGTCAGCATTTTATACTAAAATATAACAAACAGCTAAAATATAACAAGAATAATCTGTTAAATATTTGACTACAAAAAAGATTAATTTATTAAAAGCCCTCGAAAATTCCGTTTCGAATAAAGTAAAATTAAAGAACATAACTTTTTTGTCTTATATATTTAACACGTAAGAACTTTGCGTTGAATATTTTCCTCGTAGTGATATTTTTTAATACATTATACACGTTTAAGATATTCATAGAAATTTTGATTATATCATTAAGTTATTTTCATATTTATTTAAAATTTGTCTTTTTATCATTTTAGATGTACGTAAAGGAAATTCAAAAAAATTTAATGTAACGACTGAAGAACTCAGAATCCTTTGTTTATGAATCATGACATTCAGTCTGCACGATCACAATAGCTTCGCTATTATAACAATCTTCGAATCCCATCAAGTACTTAATTTTTACTTGATTTTTATGTTCCCACATATATGGATGTCCCAGATCAATGGTGACTATTTTCATATGTAGATAGAGCGGGCTAAACTGAGTCGAAAAGTCTTCCATTTTGCAATAGAATTATTAATTCTTAAAAATCGCCATATTAGCCCGGTTCACCGGCAAATGCAAGCGCGCGGTAGGATACTCCCGTCCGGCGATCATCGTTGCTAGGCGCGAGGAATTATTTTCTTCAAGCGGCAATAGCTACACACGAGCCGCCATGCGCTTAACCTATTTAGACGGGAAAGATGTCTTTGAAAATGTTGCAAGTTTATCTTGATAATGATTTATGGGTATTTCGACGTAACTGATGCCGAATTTTAAACGGCAATAAGTGCTAATATTGTGAAATGTTATATAAAGGAGATTTTATAGATATACAGGATGTCTCAAAACTCCCATATTTAGAGTACATTACGTAATTCTTTATGCTAAAAGAAACAACTTTTTCCTTTAGCAAAATTGCGTGTGACGAGTAATTTTTGCAGTGGAGATCATATTAAAATTTAATTATTTATATTAATTATTTACATAATTAATTATGTAAATAATTGTTTTAAAAATATGTCAAAAATAATATAAAAATATTTTAAATATTTTGAAATAACCATATTTAAAATATTATACATATTGCATATATGCTCTGCAAAAAATTTTCCTTCATAAAAACAATTTGATTAAATTATTTATAATTGTTAAAAAGTTCAAAAG